CCTTGGTTTCGGGCACACCCCAGTAGGAGGTGTGCAGGAGGCAGCTGATCAATGTTTCTAACTCTCTATCCCTCTCCCTTCCTCTCTGTAAAAAATCAATAAAATATATATTTAAAAAAAAAGTATTACTGAATCTGTAAATGTAAAAATAATTAAGTAGTTAATAAATCTTTTTTAGAAGTGAGCTTGCTAGTTGGAATTTGCAGTTGCCTTTTATACTATCCTCCCCCAACCCTGATATGCTGCTTATCTGATTTTATGATTAGAAATCAATAGGTACAAAATTGAAAGTCATCAAAAACACACAGGACACCAGGTTGGATAAGGCTGTGCTTTATTACATGCATAATTACAAATCTGTGCTAAGTGGAAATGTATAAAGCAATGGCAACCTGGGTTTAAGCCACACAGAGAAAGGACTAGACAATCCCATTAACCCTTCTGCCAATGTCCATTCCATTGCCTTTAACATGATTATTTCCATTTCATACAATTTGCATAGCACTTACTAGTCAAAGTACTTTCCATTCATTGTCTCAATTTATCCTCACAACAACCCTGTGAGGTAGGTAGGGCAATTAACACTATCCCCATTTTACAGATGGGAACACTGAGGCACAGAACGGTTAAGATCTCGAGGCTAGTTAGTAGAAGCATAGGGAATAAATAACTCCCCAGCCCATGTCTTCCTTTTTAGACTGTTGCTATGCATGATCAAGGAGCAGAATGAAGTGAGCAGTGACTCACAGCTTTGGTACAGGCTGTACCTATGAACAGGGACCAACATCTCTAAAAGTTAGAATAAAGCTAAGAAAGCATGACTATAAGGGTTGGCAACATTCAGATAAATAAACACTCTGAACAGCTCAGCTTCCTGTGGAAACTCAGGCTATATTAGCTTTGGTTGCCTAGTTGATGTCTATACATTAGCTTCAGTTAAACTTCTACCAACTCTTATAAACTAAAATGTTTAGTCAGACAGATTTTCTTTGGCTACCATAGCTGGAGCCGGTTCTATGAATGAGCTTATTACAGAGATATTCCTATAGTGGCCCATGGGCTAGAACCCTCTGATCCTCCTGGCCTCATTGGCTCACCCAAAGGGTGGTATTTCTCCCATAGCCAGAGATGAATGGACAGAGGTAAGAGCATGATGTTGGCCTTGGTCAAATGAAGAAGACTGATATCAATGTCATCATGACATCAATGTCATCCTTAAGTGATATGACCTGGGTGCTGTCTATCAGGCTCAACTCCTTTCTGGCCTGTACCTGGTTAGCAGCATAGCTTCAAAAGACAGTTTAAAAGAACAAAATATTAAGCACGTCATTTTTTATCTAGAATGAAACATATTCTTAATCATTACATAGTCCCAAAGGACCAAATATATAATAAAAAAGTAAATACTTAATAAAAAGCTAGTACTAAAAAGGCAGGACAATGGGAGAGAAAAGAGGGATAAGGGATAAAGTAAAATGGAGGAGGGGAAAGGAACACTCTTGAATGTCAATATATTTTGAGGTACACTCAGTATGATAATGAGGCTGAAGATTCCTGCCTTGATAAAACCGTCTCAGGCCACTCCCTTGTCCCCATTTTGCCAGGTGGCATTTCACTTACCAAATCCTAGACTGCCTCTGACTTTCAATAGATTTGGACTAGTACATAATAATAAGGTTTATCAATGAATACTTCATATATCTACCTTCAGGATGCTAAAGCCCTTGACACTCCCAATAAATACCACTAGCTTTTGCCCCTGCAGTGGAACAAAGGGCCATTGGCCCCATCAAGTCAAAATTATCTTCTATTCTGTTTTCAGAATGATCCTCTCCTTTCTCCAAGGTCCACATTTGAAACAATATGCTTGTAACAACTGAGAACATTTTAAAATTAAGGGAGGAAGGAGAGATGGGGGGGGGGGGGGGGGGGGGGGCGAAAGGAGGAGAGGGTGGGATAAAAGGAAGAGAGAGAGGCAAAGACCACTTTTTTAAAATCCTCATAATTTTATAGTCTCACATGCCTTCTTTAAGCAAGGCATTCATTCAATGAGTGTGCAAAGAGAGGCTGAAGACCCTTTGGCAGGAACTTAGAGGTAGGAATTTATGACTGCAGGGTTGGGCTGAGTGACCCAATAAGCTCCATGCAAGAAACGCAAACTCTGCACATCGAATACTTTCTTTCTTTCTTAGGTGATCTGGCAAAAATCAGATTACACAGTGGAAAAACCAATTTTGTTCCCTACATCACTTGAAAACTTTACCCAGGACCAGATGTTATGAAATGAGACCCTGGCCAGCAAATGTTTGGGGAATAACCTGAATTTGCTAACACCTGCTATTCTAAGAACTCTCCTCGGAGCAAACAACTGAAATTGAACCAGAGAAAAAGTCCTGTGGTCACCACAGGTATACTACACTGATTTCCTATCAAATTTACACAGCTCCCTGAGCTCTGATCTGAGAAACCCTCACATTTTTCTTTCTAATATAAATAAGTATATACTGGGGAGGCTAAAATATAGATTTAAAAATATTTTGTTATCAAAATTCAAGGAAATCTCCCTAAAGCTTATCAATTAGGCAATGGCAGTAGGGGCTCCCCACCTTTAAGAGCAGATGTCTTGTCTTATGTCAGCCCTTTCCATAAAAGTAGACTCACTCTAGCTAAATACTTTTGCTTGGAAGGCCTGGTCTTTGGAAGACTATTTGACTTTTTTTCCCCTTGGGGCACATGATCAAGCAGTTTATAAATGCCAAGATGTGTGGCTGGCCTTCCTTCCACCATCTTACATAAACTCATACTTTTTTTCTTACTAGGGCTTTTCCACTGCCATAACTCTCCATTCCCTCTCCAAAGGGAATCCAAGCAATCTCAGAGATGGTTTAAAAAAAGTCAAGGTTTTAGGATATTCAGAGCACATATATAGACATCTATTTTTTAAAGGACTCAATAGTCAACCTCCCCTTTACTTTCTAAATTCCTAATTTTTCTCAGGGTTTTCAAGAGCTCAATACTCTGTGCACTGCCGTGGAAGATGCTCTCCTGCTTTCTCCGAACTGATGGATTGCATGTATTTGGCTCTGATCCAATGCAGGTAAGTCAATAATTCACAGTACAATGTGGTCAGTCATCAGTAAGTACTTTGGCAATATAAAACACACTGGTTGTTTCAAATTCTCTATATTGTCTTCACAATCATTAAAAACTCAGCTTCAAAAATTGCACTCCTTATGATTTTAAAAAGATACTGCAGGGTAACAAGTACACTTTCCTTCTTATCACCAAACAAAACAAACCAAGATCAAGACTCAAATGGGATAGGTGATTTAAATACTTAAAACATAGAGCAACAATTATGTCCCATGATGGACTCTATTATATGCTAAGTTTTTAAAAACATATTTGCTTCCCCCACACCTGAACAGGTTCATAACATGATTGAGAATTATTTCGCAGCCTTAGACCATACTAAGTCTCCATTACTTTATCATCCTCATGTTTAAACACAATTGAAGGCTGGCTAGAGAAATTTATACTGTGCTCTGTTCTTTCTGTAAAGCATTCGGATTCAGCCCTTGGTACCAAAAACAATTGAAGTGCTTTGTAGTTAAATCAGCAAATTAATAATTTATTCTGCCAGCTGGCAAATCCAAAGTATTGTCAGTGTCAGATTATACACCAGAGGATATCTGTTCTATGGACTATACCACCTCTGCTCCACAGCTGGGCTGAGCCAGAAGGAGGCCAGAGCCAGAAAAGAGCAAAGTATCTGAACAAACTTCTAAATACAAATGATCTTGAGAATGGCCATTATTTTGCATTTTCAGTCCCCTAATTCTTCCCTCTAATGGTATAACTAATCATCCACTAAGTGCTTGAGGTTCATTAATTTTTTACATTAAAGATCTGAAGATACAAAATATAGCAGACTTTTACAAATCTATAGATTTTCATTCCTTTCATGACTGGATATTATTCCTCAGAAAATCCTGAAGTGCTTATTGGCATTTTTTTGTAAATCCTTCCCTTGTGTCGGGCAATCTCCTTTTGTTAATACCAAACTAGACTAGTTTAAATTCATATTCATTTTTAAATCACAGATTATCTTGTCTTTTGCCATTGAGGCCTGTGGACATCTGACAGACCTCCCTAATTCAGCTTTGTTTGCTGGCTAAGTGTGTGCAACTGCTGAATTAGCAATGTCAGAAAGAACATTTTCCTTTGCCTCAAGACAAGAAACTCTTGAGTGGTGAAGTGCTGAGTTAGCAGTCTAGCAGGGAGCTCTAGCTGCAATTAGCCAACCTTTGAGCCAAACCATAGGATTTGACATATAATGCATACCATACACTATAGCTACTTCTAGCATATGAGTTACATGGATTCCTGAGAAGCTGAGGTTAATGGATGAAACTTATCAGGAGTGAGGTATCAAAGGGATATTATTCTCTGGAGGGCCAATCGGTTCTTAGCATCTAGAAAGTTTACCTTGGCACAGTGTTATCTGATTTCTTGAATTTAGTCTCTGAAGTAGCACCTTAACACTGGCTCATCTGTCTAAAATTATAAACGGAGCCTAGAAGAAACACAAAGGCAAACTTAGAAATCCCTCCATATCGCTGCTGCACTACGAAATACAACCAAATCTTTCATTGTCACCAAATACCAGAAAAACGAACATTTCCTGTTTTGCAAACTTTAGTTGGGTAGCTAATAAGATAGGTAATGATCCATAAATTTACAGATAGGAACTTTGATTTCTACACAATGTACAGGGGTAGTCAGGCAAAATAGCCACATCTCATGCAAGTGAATCAGTAATATGGAAGGGACAAAAGATGTAAAGTTGCTGAGTTATGACTATCATAAAATATATCCTAGAGTTTTTTCGTTTTCATTAAAATGCTAGAGCGATATACTTAAAATAAGAAACTCTGGACTGCTTTGATATTTTAAAGATAAAAGTAAAAATAAGCCTTGACTACCTAGTTCTAGATAATAACATAATTTCATATTTGGGAAAGATAAGAACTAAGGGTTAAAAAAAAGCTTAGACTCTGGGATCAGCAGCTTTAAAATGAGGTATGAAGTGTTTGGGGAAGGGAGGTGGAGGGCTGGGAAGGACATGCTGAGTGACTGCTGATTCCAGGCTAGAAGGATGGAGAGAAGCGCTGGGAACAGACTTGTAAAATGGGAAAGGCTGAACTTTCACCCCTGGCAGTTAAGTCGCACTGCTGTGGGCATTGGTGTGGAAATTGAGGCATGGTAGCAGTGACTGGGTTATAGAACAGAGCCAATGGCTGTGTGTTACCTCTGGTCCACGTGCCAAAAGATTACTGAGGCTTGGTTTATAATTTAACTAGCCCTGGGAATTATTTTTTGTAATAGGAATGATTAACTCAGGACTGAGGAGTGGGAAGGGGCAAAGAATTGAGGGGGAACAACTACACGTGGGTAAAACTGTAGAAAATGAAACAGTGATCGGAATGATGGTGGTGGCTCTGTAATTCCACCAGGTGTCCCTAGACTGTGATGTTTTCTACTGCAGTTAAGGTGGTAGGAAATTCAGACAGGCACCTTTTCAATTGGATGCAAGCACCTTTGGTGTTACCAGGCCTTATCCACACTCTTGGGTCTTAGGATGGTTCTGCATTTCATTCAGAATTCTAAGGAGCTGCAAGGGAGTCACAACTGCCTATTCTGTTTCAATGCCTTGAATATATTTGAAAGTACCCAGAGCCTAAATTCATGTTCATAGGAACAATACTGGCCTGTTCTACATACTTCACACTAGGAGGAGGCATGGGTGTCCAGTTATTTTAGTACTGGTGGTTTTTATGAAGGAATGCATGAGAATGCAGATACAGCTCTGAATCTTCCCTAGTTTACCAGTATGCAGAATATTCTTACATATTCCAGAAGCCTAAAGCACCATCACTCATGGAGGTGGCATCTGGGTAAGAGAATGAGTTGGAACCTCACAAAATTTAAAGTTCCTAGTCATTGACTTTACATAGAACTTCACTAATCATTCATCTGGAGAAATCATTCCTTGCTACTAATAAATGCATGGCAAAGTCCTTGTCTACTAGCAAACAAATACCATCTGGAAAATTACCTTTCTTAGAGCAGACAAGGAGAAAGCTCTACAACTTATCTTTGTGCACTTCAAAAGAGTACCAGGAACAAGCAAGGCATAAAATCAACCTCTCTAAATTCATTTAGAGATTAACCAAAGCAGCATTGTCTTATAATCAGATATTAAAATTAACATACACATACACACACAAACTAATAATGCTAAATATTGTAACAGGAGCAAGATAACATTTGAACTGAATTTTCACAGTCTGGAAAATGCCATTACTATTTTCCTTCTGGCTTTCTTTTCTGTGGTTGGAAAAGCAAAGCCCCTTAGTTTACACTTCATCTTCCACCAATGATAGTTAGAGTCCCAAAAAAGTGACTTTTTCATGAGTTTCCTGCAGGCTATCAGTTAGGACGGTCAACATTTTTCTTGCATAGTTTTCAGTGATTGCATATTGGCTAATAATCGTTTTAAATTTTTAAAAAATCTTTTAAAAAAAGAAAAAGAATTAAACCATAGCAATCTTATTTACTCTTTCATGAAATCTTTGTAATGCAACATCACAGAAGTCTAACTGCATTTTCTCCTAAAGAGATTAACTTCCAGAAATTATTATGTAGTGCAACTGGTTAACTTGTAGGAAAGAGACAACACACTAATATAACTTCACCATCCAGATATGGGAAATGTGTTTTGGGTACCCAGTTAATAAAATATATCCACGGTCTGCAATGTCCTTCCTGTTTTGTATCCAGCACAATCCTGGGATTCTAGTTGAAGAGAATGGAATCAGGATCTTGGTTCGCCATCTGTGCTATATGCTTTAACACATCCTTCTTGGTAATGATTCCAAGCAGTCGCCTAAAAGACAAAACAAGACAATAAAACAAAAAAACCTGTAGTTAAAACAAAATTCTCAAAGAGGATACTTTTCCTCTTCAGTAATATTTGCCAATGCTATTTCTGATAAGGGTTTAATCTCCAAATGTTACATGGAACTCATACAACAAAAGAGAGATAAACAATCTAATAAAAAATGGGGAAAGGACCTAAATCAGTGATGGCGAACCTTTTGAGCTCGGTGTGTCAGCATTTTGAAAAACCCTAACTTAACTCTGGTGCCATGTCACATATAGAATTTTTTTGGTATTTGCAAACAGAGGAGAGGACAGCACCGTGATGGCGAACCTTTTGAGCTCGGCGTGTCAGCATTTTGCAAAACCCTAACTTAACTCTGGTGCCGTGTCACATATAGAAATTTTTTGATATTTGCAACCATAGTAAAACAAAGACTTATATTTTTGATATTTATTTTATATATTTAAATGCCATTTAACAAAGAAAAATCAACCAAAAAAATGAGTTCGCGTGTCACCTCTGACACGCGTGTCACAGGTTTGCCATCACTGACCTAAATATACACTTTTTGAAAGAGGACATACAAAAGGCCAAGAGACATATGAAAATATGCTCAAAGTCAATCATTCCAGAGATGCAAATCAAAACAGCAATGAGGTACCATCTCACACCTGTCAGAATGGCTATCATCAACAAATCAACAAACAACAAATGCTGGCAAGGATGTGGAGAAAAAGGAACCCTTGTGCACTGCTGGTGGGAATACTGGTGCAGGCACTGTGGAAAACAGTATAGAGTTTCCTCAGAAAGTTAAACATGGAACTCCCATTCGACCCAGTAATCCCACTTCTAGGAATATATCCCAAGAAA